TCAAGCCCCCCCCCCCCCCAAAAAAAAAGGGAAGAGGGGGGGGGGGGGGGGCAGTTTTGCGGGGTCGCTGCAGGGTGAATGTCGACTGCGAGCCTTTCCTGCCTGGGAAGAACTGCTGTCCTGGACACCTGGGTGTCAGGCCCTTGTCCGGGAGTGTCGGGGACAAGACCTGTCTTGAAAGGATATCTCCAACGAAACCATGAATGACCCAAGGTCTGGGAACCTGAATTGGAGTGTCCAGAATCGTCCGGGACAGTATGCCCACAAATTGCAAGACACAAGTTGGCACGATTCTCAGAAACCCACCGACGGCCTAGTCAAACGTCAATCCGCCTCCTCCTCCTTCTCCTCCTCCTCCTCTTCCATCCTCTGTCCGATTCCTTCACCGCGAGGCTCTCAATCCCCCGGCACCCCCACACCTCCTCGCCCCCACCGCCTTCTGCCTTTCAACTTCATGCCTGCATGACGAGCCTCTCCCCCTACCCCGGCTCTCCTGTCCTGCGTTCCCTCCCCCGTGCTTCCCCTTCCCCGTGCTTCCCCCTCCTGCATTCCCCTCCCCCGAGACCCTCCTGACGTCCCCCTAGGGGCCAGGATATGCTTAGAATTGCGCTGTAAATTGGGCTGAGTCGAAGAAATAGATTACCTGAAATTTAAGGGTGGCTGAGAATGGGCAATGCATTTGTGGACAATCATGGAAGCACTGACTTCCAGTATCGGAATACTGTCTGAATAAGCGGCCTGTGACAAAAGGAACAGCACATCCCGTAGCATATCCCGCCCCGTCAACACATGAAGAACAGCAACCAGGAGCAGAAGTCCAACCCAGTCGTGAACAGCATACGCCACTAGCACATATCACCAGCATGCCGCCAATATCCGACAGCTAGAGCGTGCACTGGGGACGTATACCATCAACCAGCACAACCCATACCGATACTGCACAACAGTATCACACAGCAAGAAGAAACACCAACCCCAACAATCACACCAGGCACCAACACGCACACATCGAATACACACACACTCACAGCGCACATCGGCAACACTTCGGAAGCACACGCGCTACTATCAAACTGTATATACGTACATACATACATACATATATATATACCATTGACACACAAGTCACACCGACCAACACCATAGATCAGTACGTGCACCATAGCTACACATGACTACCACACCGCAGCATGCAAGTCATATGAGCTGCCATATGAAGCACCGTAAGCTCACATATATGGCAGCAGTATGAAAAGAATCTACACAACTGTTCCTCCACACGCCACTAGAAAGCGCAGTCTCACGATACACTGCCAGACCGAAAAGATAGTGAAAACGGCTGCCCACGTATGTTCAATACGCAGCAGCGAAAAGAAAACATTACAGCCCACAGCTAGGCTTCAGTGGCTGTCATATGGAGACGGTGCGCGGTGGGATGCAGCAAGCTGGGCCGAAACGCCGTGCAAGAGGAAGCAAACAAAACCCACCAGGTGGGAGCCTACGTAAGGCGCAAAATAAAGCCCAATAGAACACCGACAAAATGACTTGAACCGCACATGGTTGCACATGCATGCCATGTATATCCAACGTGCCAACACAAAACAGGGCACGGCATGCATCCATATATAACACGTGCCAGCTGAATGCTACGTGCAACGAATGTGCACCAACAAATCTCCGCGACGTGCCACATCGCACCGTGACGACGCACGCGGCAGAACTCGAAACCATCCGCAGCAGGACGAGGAGGAGGAGGAGAAGGAGAGAGGAGGAGGAGGACCAATGTAAACGCGAGTGTCACCAACGATGTTGGAATACACTCTCCCTCAAAGCTCCCTCTTCATAGACCCCTACAACGGTTCATTTCCATTGAAAGCACTGCCTCTGTGGAAGACAACCGTTTGAAAACCCTGAAACATGCCAAAACACTGGTCTCGGGATTCCAACGCCACGGACCAACCGGAGTGTTGCGTCTTGACAACCTTGCACCGCGCCGAAGGAATGTGCGCCGCGCTGAGGCGAATGCCACATGGTGAAAACCACCCGCCCTCAATCCGCGAGGCTCTTGCACATGTTTACAGCAAATGTGCGCCGCGCTGGGGCGAGAACCACATTTTGAAAACCACCCGCCCTCAATCCGCGAAGCTCTTGCAATTTAACAAACGAATGTGCCCGGCGCTGAGGCGAGAGCCACATTTTGAAAAGCACCCGCCCTCAATCCATGAAGCCCTTGCACATGTTAATAAAGTGCGCCGCGCTGAAGCGAGAACCACATTTTGAAAACCACCCGCCCCCAATCCGCGAGGCTCTTGTAATATTTCTATAACGAATGTGCCCAGCGCTAAGGAGAGAGCCACCTTTTGAAAACCACCCGCCCTCAATCCGTGAAGCTCCTGCAATTTTCAGAACGAATGTGCGCCGCGCTGAGGCGAGAGCCACATTTTGAAGACCACCCACCCTGATTTTGTGAAACTCTTGCACTTTCTAAACGGATATGCGCCGCGCTGGGGCGAGAACCACAATTTGAAAACCAACCGCCCTCAATCCGTGAAGCTCTTGCAAATTGTGTAAACGAATGTCCGCCGCGTTAAGGAGAGAGCCATCTTTTGAAAACGGCCCGCCCTCCATATGATCCATATGTGGGAGTGTTGTCAATGTTTACGATTCAGAGCCACAAGTGGTGAGGAAGTCCCAGGCAGAAAGCTCGGCCCGCCCTAAAAACTGAACTCAGGGTGCGACAGGGCGAAGTTATGTATCAGAGTGAGTGGGCCGAACAGTCATTCAGTGTCCCTGGGTGCGTGGCTGAAGTGGGAATCCGTTGTGAGGATTCCGCTTGTTGCGTTGTTGTTGTTGTTGGTGTTGGTGTTGTTGTTTTTGTTTTTGTTGTTGTTGTTGTGGTTGTGGTTGTGGTTGTGGTTGTGGTTGTGGTTGTGGTTGTGGTTGTTGTTGTTGTTGTTGTTGTTGTTGTTGTTGTTGTTGTTGTTGTTGTTGTTGTTGTTGTTGTTTGTTGTCGTCGTCCCACCCGCGACCCACCCGCAATCCACCCCGCGACCCCCCCGCGACCCACCCCGCGATCCACCCAGCGACACACCCCGCGACCAAACCCGCGACCCACCCGCGACCCACCCCGCGACCCACCCGCGACCCACCCGCGACCCATCCGCGACCCACCCCGCGACCCACCCCGCGACCTACCCCGCGACCCATCCGCGACCTACCCGCGACCCACCGGCGCCCCATCTGCGACCAACCCGCGATCCACCCCGCGACCCATCCGCCACCCACCCGCGACCTACCCGCGGCCTACCCACATTGGTTTAAAGAAACAATCGGCGCCTGCGGGGTGCTCGTTGTACTTAGCACCCCGCAGATGCGAACAAGAGTGTGCGGGCGGTGGGGACGTCGGCAGTCTGCAAGACTCTGGAGAAGCCCGCCGCAGACGCCAAAGGTTTACAAATTGTACAAGAAGCCCGCCGCAGGCGCCGATTTTTCTTTTAAACCAATGTGGGTAGGTCGCGGGTGGGTCGCGGGTGGGTCGCGAGTGGGTCGCCGGGTGGGTCGCGGGTGGGTCGCAAGTGGGTCGCGGGTGGGTCGCAGATGGGGCGCGGGGTGGGTCGCGGGTGGGTCGCCGGGATGATCGCGGGTGGGTCGCGGGGGGGTCGCGGGTGGGTCGCGGGGTGGGTCGCGGGTGGGTCGAGGGGTGGGTCGCGGGTGGGTCGCGGGTGGGTCGCGGGGTGGGTCGCGGGGTGGGTCGCAGGGTGGGTCGCGGGGTGGGTTGCTAGTGGGTCGCGTGTGGGACGACGACAAGCAACAACAATAACAACGCAACAAGCAGAATCCTCACAACGGATTCCAACTTCAGCCACGCACCCAGGGACAAAGAATGACCGTTCGGCCCCCTCACTCTGACAATCGTTCCAACTTTGGCGCCTGCGGCGGGCTTCTGGAGAGTCTCGCAGACTGCCGACGCCCTCACCGCCCCCTCACTCTTATCCGCATCTGCGGGGTGCTGCGGTAAGGGAAAGGAATGGAGGAGGAGGAGGAGGAGGAGGAGGAGGAGGGGGAGGAGAAGGAGGAGGAGGAGGAGGGGGAGGAGGAGGGGGATAAGGAGGAGGAGGAGGAGGAGAAGGAGGAGGACCCTCGACGCACACTTCTGCTGGAAAAGAGCGCGCAGTGCACCTGGCCGGCGCGAGCCGACACATCCGCGGGGGGCCTACGCCGCTCCCCTCACCAGGCGGCTGTACGCGCCGCTCCTCCTCAAGAGCGACCGGTGCACACCCTGCTCCACCACGCGCCCGTCCTTCGGCGACTCCGAAGGGTGTGGTTTGCAACCAGCGCCCTGGGTGGCACCCTGGGGGGCGGGCGGGGACCTCGACAAAGCTCTCCGCCGCGCCCCGAGGAGGCCCAGCGAGGACAGTGTCGTGCTCCCTGGGCCCCAGCAGTGCCGATCGCAAACCGCACCCCGGCGGAACCATACCCTTTGTAGGCGCCGGGTCCTGCATCACGACTATGTTATCCGCGTCCACCACGGTGCTGAGCCGATGTTAGGGGGACGAGCATTGACACAAGCATAACAAACTCAGAGGTCCGCGCGGCTTTCTCAGATCGGCGCTGAACCCCTTCCCTGGCTCGCGGAGCGCGCCGGGGGCGGCGCTTGAGGCGCCGCCAGGGGGCCCCAGCGCGGATAAGAAAAATCGCGGACCTCCGAGCTTTGATGTTTGTGTCATTGTTCGCCCCCCCAGATGGGCAATGACAAGGCACGTGGCCCTTCTCTTACGAAGGTAATCGCGGATGGAATCAAGCACCTTCTGAGTATCGTTTGACCGATCCCCATCCCCAGCGGCGTGGCCTGGGCTCCACTGGCCGATTACCCCCCCTAGATGGGGATGTAGGTCGCTCCCGTCGGGCTTCGAGGGGCGTATCCCCAACTGGGGTGCTAATTTGGTGGGGGTCTCGAAGGGGATGGGGATGGGGATAGGGATTGGTTAAACGATGCCGACCTTCGCCTCCGTCCGCGTGTCCAGCGCCGACGTGGCCTCGTCCAGCACCAGAATGCGCGGGCGGCGCGCCAGCGCCCGCGCCAGGGCCAGCCGCTGCCTCTGGCCGCCCGACAGCCGGGCGTCCCCGACCGGGGTGTGGTATCCCTGGGGCAGGGCGACGATGAAGTCGTGGGCGTGCGCCGCCTTCGCGGCCTCCTCCTCCTCCTCCTTTTCCTGTTCCTCCTCCTCCTCATCCTCCTCCTCTTCCTCTTCCTCCTCCTCTTCCTCCTCCTCGTCCTCCTCCTCCTCCTCCTCCTCCTCCTCATCCTCCTCCTCCTCCTCCTTCCCCCTGCGCAGCCTTCGCGGCCTCCACCACCACAGGGTCCACCGAGCCGTTCGGCAGCAAGCCGGTCGCCGCAGGGTCACCAGCATCGTCCTCGCCCAGCCCCAACACGAGGTTCTCCAGCACCGTGGCCGAGAACAAGCGCGGATCCTGCGTGACGACGCCCAAAAGAGAGCGTAGCCATATTGGGTCCAGCTCGTCCAGGGAAACGCCATCCAGCAGAACCTCTCCCTCGTCCGGCTCATACCAGCGCTGCAGGAGCGACGCCAGCGTGCTCTTGCCGCTCCCGGAGGCGCCCACCAGCGCAGTGGTGACGCCCGCGGGCACGTCCAGGGTGAGGCCGCTGAGGATCGGATCGCCTGGCCGCGAGGGGTACGTGAACGAGACGTTGCGGAACGACACGTGCCCGACGAAGTTGTCCATGGGCAGCCTGCGGCTGCCCGAGGAGTCGTCACCGCGCTGGCGCACCACGCTCGGCGACGGACTCATCTCTGTGTACTCGAACACCCTGCGCGAAGAGCCGATGGACTGCATCAGCTGGCGGTACTGGCCGCCCACGGCCAGGGACGACCCCACGACCATGTCGACGTACAGCATCGTGGCCGTCAGCTGCTCGGGAGTCATGGAGCCGCGGGCGACGAGCACGCCCCCCACGCCCAGGGCGACCGCCTTGATGCCCTCGCTCAGGCCGTTGTAGAAGGTGGCGTAGACCCCGTATGCGGCGGCACGCTGGTGCTCCAGGAACAGCAGCTTGTGGGCGGCCTCGGAGTACTTCCGCAGCAGCGCGCCCTCGCCGCCCAGCGAGCGCAGGGTGCGCACGTTCTGCAGGGACTCCGTGGCCACGGTGTTGAGCCCGGCCAGCTGGTCCTGCCGCAGGAACGAGGACCTGCGCGTGAAGCGGCCGTAGACGGTGTACACGTAGAAGAGTACGACCCACACCCCGACCAGTATCAGGGACAGCCGCCACGACGTGATCGCCAGGTAGCCGACCCCGAAGACCAGCTGAACCGCGTTGCGTAGGAATATGTTGAAGTTCAGGGAGAGACCGCTGGAGACCGCCTCGCAGTCCGAATTCAGCCTGCTCGTCAGCTCCCCGACGTCCCGCTCATCGTGGAACGCCACGTCCTGCTGAAGCATTAGCGAGAAAGTCTGCCACCGCAGCCGCGCGAGCAAGCGGTTCTCCACCACGGACATGATCAGCCCCCGAAGACCACTGGCGGCGCCGTAGCCCAGCGCCAGCGCGCCCAGCCGGAGGGCGGCGCTTCGCAGCGACGCCAGCGCCTGCTCCCCGCCACCGCGCTGCAGCGCCACCACCAGCGTCTTCGCGACCGCCTGCGGGATGAGCGTCCGGAGCCCGGCGGCGCAGAGCAGGCAGCCGATGCCCACAGCCAGCAGGGGCCCCTCGTGCGACGCCAGCCGCCAGAGCCGGGCAAGGTCCTCCTCTCGGGCCGGACGAGCGAGCCAACTCACGCGGCTGATTTGCGGGAGGCGCCAACGAGCATCTAGGAAAGCGCCCGGGGGGCGGGGCCGAAACCAGCTGCACGTAGCAGAGCTCATAACCTCTCCCCAGAACTGACCCCGGCCTGGGGGATGGACCTTCGGGCACCTCGGCATCGGCGGGCGTGGACATACTGGGACCCCCCCATGGTCACGAATATATCCACACCCACCGCCTGCCGGAGTCCCGGAAGATCGATCCCCCAGGCGGTGGTGTTGGATAAACCCCCGCCTCGGTCTACAGCCGGCCCGTATCATAAGGATGCGCGATAAGGATGCAAGGGCCTTGGACGCCCACCTCAAAGTTTTCTGAGCGGGGCACGGCCAACGAGAGTGGCCAAAGATGGACCGAGGAGGCCAGGATGCAAGGGTACCCTTGGGAAGGTTGCCCATCTTTACAATGCGGGTTGACTGTAACACCCCATCTAGTCTGAGGGGCAACGACAGGGGGGGGTAGGCATTCGGGGGGGTGCATCGACCTGGAATCGGCGATACCTCGCCGATAGATCGGCGACAGGCTCCCGATCATGAATCCGCACCTTCGTGGACGGGGTGGGGCTATCGGGTCCCTATCGGCGATCAATGGGCGATTGGGGATCGATACGTCTCCCCCGATGCCTATACACTGAGCGTTTCCTTAGGGTGGATCGCTCAGGGTGGAATCCAACCGTCTTGTGATGCACCTTCTGCGGATCCAAGCCTAGAGGATCAATCGAAACGGCATGTCAGATTAAACCCTTTGTCCCCCACCCAAAGGAAATGCTCGGATCCCCCCCTATCGTTGCCCCTGGGAGCCCGACCCGATCCTCCAGGCGGCCCTCGGAGGCCGCACGGTCGGAGCTGGGGCTGCCGCTGCTCGCCAGGCGGAACCAGCGCAGCACCCAGGTCTCCAGCAGCCCGCCGGCCCCCGCGAAGGCCGCCGCCTGCGAGGCCGCCGCCGCAGGGGCTGGCCTCGGGGGCGGCCTCCGCCGCCTCCTCCTCCTCCTCCTCCGTCGCCGCCGCCGCCGCCGCCTCCTCCTCCTCCTCCTCATCTTCCTCCTTCTCCTATTCCTCTTCCTCTCCTTCCTCCTTCCTTCTCCTCCTCCTCCTCCTCCTCCTCCTCCTCCTCGTCCTCCTCGTCCTCCTCCTCCTCCTCCACCCCCTCCTCGTCCTCGTCCTCCTCCTCCTCCTCCTCCTCCTCCTCCTCCTCCTCTCCTCCTCCTCCTCAGAGGGGGTGTGGGTGTCCAAGAGGGGGGGGGGGGGGGGCAAATCAGAAACCCAACCCTAAGACCCAGGACGTCCATGGATTTCTGGTGTGGGAGCGCCACGCCATCCGTAGCAAGACTTGTGAAACCCAAGAGTAACCCAGGGCACCCTGAAGGCAAGCCGGGTGTGTCTGGGCATGGGTCTCCACCGCATAGAAATAGGAAGAGTCGGCGTGACATCTGGGGAGGTATCATGGCCCCAGTCCTGATGATGGGCCTGGTTCCCACCACCACCATGAGTTGGAGTGGGGAAGGAGGAGGAGGACGAAGAGGAGGAGGAGGACGAAGAGGAGGAGGAGAAGGAGGAGGAGGACCCCCTCCCCCTCCAAGAGAAGAAGGAGAAGGAGGAGGAGGAAGAGGAGAAGGAAGGAGGAGAAGGAGGAGGAGAAGGAGGAAGAGGAGGAGGAGAAGGAGGAGGAGGAAGAGGACGGAGAGAAGGACCCCCTCCCCCTCCAACTTGTGGCGGTGGTGGAAAACAGGCCCATCACATGATACCCCCCGCCCCTAGTCATCACCCCCGTCTCTGCCGCCCCCGCTGGCCCGAAGCGCCCGCGCGCGGCGCTCGACGGCGCGCCCGGCCAGGCGCCGACCGCGAGGCACGGGCTGCCGCAACAGGCGCCGCCCACCGGCGCCCGCAGCGCGGCGGCCGCGGCGACGGCTGCCGGAGGAGGGCCGGCGGAGACAGCGGCGGCCATCCCGCAGGACGAGATGGCTCAGGACCAACGGGCGGAGAGCGGTATCACAGCAGCGTTTTCGCTGTCGGGGGGACGCCTGTCCCAGGGCGGCTGGGAAGGGTGTACCCTCACGGTGGCACGTCAGGGTAGAAGCTTTCCAGCCGCCCTGGGGCAGCGCCCCCGGCGACGGACAAGTTTATCTTATGCCGTTCTTCGCCCGCTAACAAGAGACGTTCCCGGAGATGGACTCGGGATGGAACGTCATGATCTCGAGACGATGGTCACGGATGTCACGATGTGACTGGCTCTGGGTACGCTCAGTGCGCCCCAGGGCATCCAGCGGCCCTCGCTTCTGGAGCCCGCGCGGAGCAACAGGGGAAGGACCGGAAACGTGGAAACCCACCGACGCCACTGCCTTTTGCTCTTCTGATCCCCCGCCTGGCCCAGATCCGCTCGGAATCTTTCCCCGGGCACCCCGAGGAGGAAGAGCAGGAGGAGGGGGAGGAGGAGGAAGAGGAGGAGGAGGTGGAGGAGAAGGAGGAGGAGGGAGAGGAAGGAGGAGGAGGAGAGGAGGAGGAGGGAGGAGGAGGAGGAGGAGGAGGAGGAGGAGGAGGAGGAGGAGGAGGAGGAGGAGGAGGAGGAGGAGGAGGAGCAGGAGGAGGAGGAGGAGGAGGAGGAGGAGGAGGAGCTCCCCCCCGGGGCCCTGGCGCGTTCTTCGAGGCGCACCCAGCCGTGCAGATGAGATGCCTCCTGGAGGCCCGGCGGGAAGGACCAGGGGCGCCGGGGACGGCCGCCGTCCCAGGCACCCAGCGGCGCCCCGAGGTGTCGCGAGCTCGAGGCAGGGGCCCCCGACTTCTCGAGGATCTGGACGCCCGAAGCGGGTACGGAAAACATTGGCAAAATGCCCAACCGCAAATGTTGTCCCACGGCAACAGCGGCCGCTGTTGGGCAGGCGGCCCTCTGTCTCAAATGGACACTGGCCGCGGCGGCGCGGACAGCGAGTCCGGTTCAAAATGAACAGGAACTGCTGCTGAGCATTGCACCCGATCGATCTTTCCGTGCCCAGTTCGTTCGTGCAGATCGAGGCACGGGCCCCGACTTCTCGAGGAGGGGCATTGGTATGGGGCAGGGGCCGGCAGAGCGGGGAAGCCATGGACCAGGATTAGGTCGGGCGTGTCCCCCGACAGGCGGGTTTTGGACGACAAATGCAAAATAGGCAGAATATGCTCCAAACTAATCACAGGTTATGGAAAAATGGTCCCCGTACTATTTTCGGACTATTTCTGAATATTCCTCCTGTAGAGAAACGACTCCGAGTTCAGACCAGGAGTCAGCGACACATCGCCGATGGCTTGGCGATGGGCCCCCGATGGCAGATCCGCACATTCCTGGGCAGGTTGGGACTGTCGGGCCCTCATCGGCTATGAATGGGCGGTCGGGGGTCAATGCGTCCCCCGTCTATGCCCTATGTCGTTGCCCCTGGCTCGACGACACCTTCCCCTGGACCAGTTGTCCATCATGTGTCGTCGTTGTTTCCCCGGTTTCGAAGCCAAGTCAGGGGCCAGAGGGGCTAAAATCTACGTTTACAAAAACCACCGTCTCGATCTGTTCGAAACGCTGGATGTCTTCTCTGGTAACCGATGGGAGCCTTCCATCCCATCTTGTTGGCACTCGACACTGATCGGCGCTAACCGATGCTGAATCGACGCTAGCCGACGCTAGCCGACGCCAGTCGACGCTGAATCGGCGCTATCTCATCGGTCACCAAACGCTAATCGACGCTGGCGCACCCTGAAGACGGAATTGCGAACGCATGCACGGCTCCCATAATTTGCCACAGGAGATGAATAGAGGCCTCCTGGATGCATCGGGTCGGAGTAGAAGGGGTCGGAGAATCAGCTATGCTTGGCGATGCATGAGCCGACGTATTGGCGATGCAACGGCGACGTCAGCGATGCATCGGCGAGGTCGACGCGAAGCACATCGGGCCCCCAATCTAGCCGCATCGCCGATGCATCGCCAAAGCATCGCCGATTCGGCGCGATCCTCCGACCCAGTCTACACGGACTCCATCTGGGCGGCCTCGAGGGAAGCGCAAACATGTCTTAGGGGAAAGAAGCATAACCTAAACAGAAAAACTCGGATGCCCGCGCGGATCTCTTGGATCCGCGCTGGACCCCCCTCAAGGCGCGCCGAGCGCGCCAGGGGCGGCGCCGGAGGCGCCGCGGAGGGGGCCCAAGTGCCGATCCGAGGAACCCGCGCGAAGCTCAGAGTCATTATGTTTATGTCATTGTTCGTTCCCTATGTTTAGGTGGGGCATGTCCCCCTACAGGCTGATTTTGGACGACAAATCAAAAACTTCGCTTACACATACACAAATACACACATACATACATACATACATACATACATACATACACACACAGACAGACAGACAGACAGACAGACAGACAGACAGACAGACAGACAGACAGACAGACAGACAGACAGACAGACAGACAGACAGACAGACAGACATACACACATACACGCAAACAACAAACATTTTTCCAAAGTGCTAAAAAACACAGAAAATCGTCCCCTGACTATTTTTGAGCCATGTTTGAACATCTATTCTGCAGGAGGGACCTGCCCGACTTCACCCGATGTCTGTCGGGGGCGCGCAAACATGGATTAGCGATCCATGGAGTTGGCGCGCGGTCGCCAAATCCATGCTTCTGGGGAAGTGCCCTCTCCAAGATGCGGCCAACGCCGCCTCGCTCGGCGGCGGCAATACGCGATTTCCTCCGGAAACGGGACCCGTCGCTAATCCACGCCTCTGATCCATGTTTGCGATCGCCTGATGTCTGGGAAGCGCCAGAGTACTTAAACAATACAAGAGAAATCGTCCGCGGAATATGTTCTGACTATGATTGAACATGTCTTCTGTCGAGGGACTTGCCCGACTAAAGTTTCTGTCGGGCGTGTCCCCCTACAGGGGGATTTTGGACGAAAAATGACAAATAGTCAAACAAATGCGCACAACTAGCCGAACAATACTCAAAACATCGTCCCCAAACAATTTCTGTGTTTGATTATTTTTGCTCACTCCCCCGGTAGAGGGACACGCCCGACTTAAACCTGACCCCATGTCTGAAGGAGGAGGAGGAAGAGGAGGAGGGAGAGGAGGAGGAGGAGGCGGAGGAGGAGGAGGAGGCGGAGAGGAGGAGGCGGGAGGAGGAGGAGGGGGAGGAGGAGGCGGAGGAGGAGGAGGCCAGCGCGTCGCGCGCACGCCTCGGAGGCCCCCGCCCTGGACCCGTCTCAGACCGGACCCCGCAGGGGCCGCCGCTGCCTCGGCAGCCCCTCCCCCCGAGGCCAGCAGCACTGCGGCGGCGGGCCCCGCGCGGCGCGGCCAGCGCCCGGGCCTGCGCGGGCGCAGGGCCCCGGCGACCCCTCGGCCCGTCCCTCCCTCGACAGTCTTCGTCGTCGTCGTCCTCGTCGTCGTCGTCGTCGGCGTCGTCGTCGTCGTCGTCGTCGGCGTCGTCGTCGTCGGCGGCGGCGGCGGCGGCGTCGTCGTCGTCGTCGTCGTCGGCGTCGTCGTCGTCGGCGGCGGCGGCGGCGTCGTCGTCGTCGTCGGCGTCGGCGTCGTCGTCGTCGTCGGCGGCGGCGTCGTCGTCTCCTCCCCTCCCTTCTCTCTCCTCCCTCCTCGACCCCTCGAGCCTGGGCCCCATCGATCCTGCGACGGAGCCAGCACGAGGAGCAAAGCTTCGAAGGGGGGGCTGCATCGAGAAGCTCTGAGGTCCGGCGGCTCTGGAGGACGTCTCGGGCGCCGAGGCCCTCTCGGGGCGCTCCCGAACGCTCTGAGGGCGTTCCAGAACGCTCTGGAACGGATCTGTGCAAAACACACACAAACATATACACACACACACACACACTCACACACACACACTCACACACGCACACGCAGCCACACACACACATACACACACTTTGTTTTGTTTTATACAATGTGTTCTTGTTTGTCCACAGTGCGTGTGTGCGTGCGTGCGTGCGTGCGTGCGTGCGTGCGTGCGTGCGTGTGTGTGTGCGTGCGTGCGTGCGTGCGTGCGTGCGTGCGTGCGTGCGTGCGTGCGTGCGTTCGCGTGTGTGTGTGTTTGTTCCACAGACTCCTCGTCCTGGCCCCGTCCGCGAGCCCTCAATCCTCGCGCCGCCGATCCCTCGGCCCCTCCGCCCCTCGAACCTCCACCCCCCCATGAGGAGCGCCGTTGCGAAAAGACTGCGGCATCGCTAAGAATGACAACTGGAATGGTCAGCAGCAAAAGGACCCCCTAACCCTTTGGGAGGGGGCCTAAGTCAGGCAGACCGAAAACATTGAGGAGTCTGGGGGCCATTTGTTGCAGATGAATCAGACCAAACGGCCAAGACTTACGATCCCTAGTGCGAAGACGGGGACCTACATGATGCCACGTCTTCTCGTCGTGCCATTCGGGTTAGGGTTTCTCTTGCTCGCGTGGACGGAGCCCCCGGACCCCATCTTTCCGCGCGCCACTTCTCCAGCCCGATCGACCCGTGAAGGTCCCAGGGCCCAAAAGAGCCGGCGTCAACGCCCGCTGTGAACAGCTAGGGAGCGAGCGTGGGATTTTTTTGTTCGTCGAAAACCCCCCTGTAGGGGGACACGCCCGACTTCACTGCAGAGTGACGCGCCCGATCTGTAGCCTCGACCCCGGCCCGATGGGGCCTGCGCGGGCGCAGCGCCCCGGCGAGCGCCAGCGCGCCCAGCAGGCGGCAGGGCTCCGGGGCCGCGGCCGCGCAGGCGGCGCAGGCCGCGGCCGCGCAGGCGGCGCAGGCCGCGCAGGCGACGCTGGCCGCGCCGGGGGCGGCCGGCAGACATCCGGCGCGTCGAACCCGGAGCTCCGACGCATGGAAAAAAGCAAGGCGGAGGTTTGTCGCAGTCTTCGGCCTCCGGGGGCCCTCGCCGGGCCCTGCAGGACCTCTGTGGGCCCCGGAAGCGGCAGGGCCGTGTTTCCACCGTTTCCAAAAAAATGTCCCTTGAAAGTGGAGACGGCAAAAACAACGGCGACCGGAAACGGCAAAAACCTTGCCTCAGGACTGGAACCGGAGCCAGAACCGGTCAAAAAACGGCGACGGACCGGTAAAAAAACGGCGTCGGAACTGGCAAAGAAACGGCAAAATGGAACCGGTAAGAAAAACGGCCCTGTCGTTTCCAGGGCCCACGCCCAGGACTGTCAAAGAAAACGACGAAGGATGAAAAACCGGTCCTGGAGGACCGCGTATTCAAAAAATCACGACATCGGATCTCTGGGTGCAAGAGCGACACTCGAGGAGGTGATCGACTGCCAACACATGCTCGCGTCGTTAAAAAAGAATCCGGGCGGGAGGTTTTTCGCCTTGCTCGGCCCCAGGGGGCCTCGCCGGGCCGACTCGGGACGAAAAATCGGTCCTGGGGAAAGGGTCTGGACTTCCGGGGACGCCGTCCTGAAAAAATCAGGACGCCGCATGTCTGGGTGCAGAACTGGTTGACCCTCCAATTGACTCGAATCGAAGCAACATCGGTCGTGCATGGTTTTCGGCCTCTCGGGGCCCTGCCTTCACTGGGCCTCGTGTCCGTCAAAAAAAGGGTCGGTACGAGAAACTGGTCCCGGGGATATGGTCGTGAAGTCGGGGGCCTGCATGTCGGAAAATTCGAGGCGGCGGATGTCTGGGCTGAGCGGGGCGCCGCCATGGCTGCCAGCGCCGCCGTGGCGGCGTGAGCCACAATGGCTGCGCAGGAGGACGAAGGAAGGGAGGCAGATCGAGGAGGGAGGAGGGAAGGGCGGGGGGGGGCGAAGGAGAAGGCGAAGGAGGGGTTGGAGGAGGAGGAGGAGGAGGAGGAGGAGGAGGAGGAGGAGGAGGAGGAGGAAGAGGAGGGGCAGAAGATAAGGAGGAGGGGGGGAATTAAAGACGCATGAAGGACGTGGGGGACGAGGAAGAAGGAGGAGGCAGGAGAGTGGGAGGGAGCGGACGAGGGGGAGGAGGAGGAGGAGGAGGAGGAGGAGGAGGAGGAGGAGGAGGAAAAGGAGGAATAGGAGAAGGAGGAGGAGGATGCTGCTGATGACGATGATGATGAAGATAAAGACGAATATGAAGATGAAAATGAAGATAATATTGGTGATGGTGATGCAGACAGAAGTGATGGTGATGGTGATGGATGTGGTGGTGGTGATAATGGTGATGGTGATGATGGAGGGAATGGTGATGTTGATGATGATGATGATGATGATGATGATGATGATGATGACGATGTGATGATGAAGGCTATGATTATGGTGATGGTGATCATGATACTACTGTTACTGATTAAAATGATGATAACGACGTCGGTGATGATGGTGACAGTGCTGATAATGGTGACTATGCGGATGCTGATGATGATGATGATGCTGATATTACCGATGATGATGTTGATGACGATGACGATGATGATGGTGATGATGCAGATGACGGTGGTGCTGATGAAGATGATGCTGGTCGCGACGATGATGATGCTGATGATGATGGTGATGCTGATGATGATAATCAATGATGATGATGCTGTTGCTGATGATGATGACGGTGATGAAAATGATGTTGGCTCTGATGATGAAGATTCTGCGAATGAGCGGGGAAGAAGAAGGCAACGACGATGACAACGACGACGGGCGTCAACCGTACAGAGAGTCGCGGACCCTTTGCCCTTTGATCGAGGATGGAGGGAACCAGGATCGACGGATCAAGGTAAGAGGGTTTGAGGATCAAGGGGTTGATGGTCGAGGCATCGAGGATCAAGGGATCGGTGTCGAGAGATCGAGATTCAAGACATCGCGGATCGAGGGATCGAGGATCGAGGGATCGAGGATCGAGAGGTCGAGGTCCGTGGGCTCGAGGAGCCGTGGGCTCGAGGATCGTGCTGCCCGCCACTCTGGCGGGCATCCTGTTTTCCTCATGTCCTTCATCTTTCAATCGACTATGATTCCTCGGCTTTCGGCGCCTACCTGGAATCATCGCTCGTTTTCGGGAATCCGCACCGCTTCCAGAACGCTGAGCTCGAGGAGAGCTTCAAAGCGGCGGCGATGATGCCCTGGCTGAGTTTGTGTACGGAGCACCATGGTTCATGAGCCAAGCTGAGGGAAACGACCCGTCACGTGCCCATCTTGAACTATGCCATGGTGGTGGCCCATTCAGCACTCAAGTGGTTATACACGTGCGAAACATGCGTGTCCGTTGAAGGCTGCTCGGAAGCAAGTTACACAATCATCCCCACAACGACAAGGCTGTCGCATCTTTGCTAACGCCGTCCCTGTTGCAAGCATCCCTGCAGAGCAGCGCAAAGAGGGTGGACGTTGCCTGCAGGCGGGCCTGCAATCCCCGGGCCCCCCGAGGGGCCGAGGCCTCAATGCGGACCTTGAGGGGGGGGGGCCTCCGCGCCCGCGGGCGCATCAGCTACACGTCGGCCGGAAGAAATACATAAACAAGTGAAGCAGGAAGGCGAATCAAGCAGATTGGGATCTGAGGCTATGTTGCTCCCATCGTACTTAAGGACCACATCCCAGAAATAATTTCGAGCACCCAGGAAAGTGTCGAAAGAGTGTCGGAGGAGTGTCTCCCAGGGTCGGACACGTGAAAACTCAAGAGTTTCGGTACTGCCCTTGGCGCTCGAAAGTACTCCTGGTGACCAAAGGCAAAGTAAGTTGGAACATCGTAGATCTGAGGACTCCACAATACCTACTTCCAGTGACCGACGAGTACTTCGAGCCGATGGCCGACGCCAGACTGGGGGGGGGGATCGCTGTATTCCCGTGGAGGTGCCCAAGTAGAGAAGGCTTGGCGCAGGGCAGGGAAGGTACAGGTCATTGCACCGGCCTTGCAGACGTGCTGCCAGCCGTGCTGCAGCGGATTTCTGCGTGGATTACTGCGTTGAATGTTTGCCCGAAGCGGCAATCGAAAAACAAAATTGATTTCGCGTGGATTATTTTTGGTCTTCATTCCTGGCCCAAAAAGAACCGCACGAAATTCACCTCGAAATCCAAAACGAAATTCTCCAGGACACCCCGGGCCCACCCTAGCGTTCCCCGAACGAAATCCGCTCTGCGATGTTGGCGCCATGGCAGGAAAGAGGCAGAAGAGGCGAAGGAGGAATTCGTGTGACGCCGCTTCTTGCTCTCAGACTCTGGCAACACACACCTGTGCTCTGACGTCGCGAAGCGGATGCAACGTCGACCACATACCGCTCGCCATCGTCATGACGCATTCCTCGACCCGGATCGGTCTGTGAGGGCTCCAAGGGCCCGCGGTTCTCAGAGACCACGCCGAGAGATCACGAAGAGAAGCGTCGGGCAAGAGGATCCGGTGTGTAAGCCCTATCCAGCGGCATCGCCTGACCGTCATTTACCTGGCTCGCATGTACTGTCCCGCACAAGCACGCGCGGTGGGGGCGTGTGCTAAGCCATGCGTGAAAAGAAGAATGAGAAGCCACGGGGTCTCATGTGCAAGCCGTTTGCGGCTTTCTGAACTATACCTGGGCTGGAACACCGAAGAATTGACAAAGGAGCAGCCGGTCGCTAAAGAGGAGCAGGAGATCAGGTGCACTCCGCGTGGGTGGGCGGCGCGGCCCTGCGTGGCCGGGGCACGGGCCAGAGAGAGAAGCGCAGCTGGCGCGGTGGCGCTCCTGAGCACCCCGAAGAGCGAGCCGCCGTTGGCATACTCGAGCAGCAGGTGCACACTATCCTCTTCCTGGAAGGCAGAGATCTATCGATGGAGTGCAGGGGGCGCGCCAAACGATGGAGGCTTGTAGGTAGACAGGGGGGTCTCCGCGGAGTGCTTCTGCCGGTGTATGCAAGCGAGGGTGTATACGAATCTGTCCGCGAGTGCGTCCATGACTATGTGGGTGCGCTCGCATGGCCCTGTGCAATTTCGGCACGCACAATAAGACAACGTGCGCCGCTCTGACATACCGTCCCTTGTTTTAGTTCGGGCGTGTCCACCTAAAGGCGAATCTCGCACGAAAGATTAATCATAGTCAACATGTTTTTGCGTCGAGCGATCCCTACCGAAACCTTCGGCGTTTGATCCCAGCGGTGCGCTCGCCTACTGGAAGGATGTGCGCAGTGCCCGGCGGCACCGGCCAGCGCGGCGGCCGGGCCAAGTCGCAAATTGATGTTATAATAGATTCTGACCTGCTATGCTAGTATGTGGCGATATGGTATACTGTCGTGTTATGATATGTTCTGCGATGAAGTGCAATTGAACATGATGCTCTGCCAAAGTGACGTATGTCTTCCTCCGTTATGTTATGTTATGTTGTGTCATGTCGCCTTCAATTATACCATGCTGTGTTGTGATGTGTTGTAGGAGGTTGCATCATGCTCTTTGTTGGTCATGATATGGCTATGTTATGGTATGTCATGGTATGGTATGCTCGTGTTATGCTCTGCGGTCTTCTAGTGTGACATGTTGTGTTCTGGCGTGCTCGCCGCTATGCTTTGCTGTCGTCTTATGCTGCGTTTGGTGACGCTGCGTCATGATATGACATGCTCTGTCGATGTGTACTATGTGATGATCCACTATGGTATAGTATGATGTGTTATGTCATGTTATATTACGCCAGGTAATGCTCCGGTATGTTATTTGAAATGCTGGTGTTCTCTCTTTTGTCATAACATTGATATTTCTGCTCTGCCATAAGATGTCATGCTCTTGCTCTGTTCTGTCATGTTCTGTTGTGTCATATTGTGTTCTGTCATGTTTGTCGAGGGCGCGAGGCGGGACACCCGGGATTCTCGGGAAAACTTGGGGTCTGGCGGCCGCGGTATGCAGAGTTTGTTCTGTCGTGTTTATTGAGGGCGCGAGGCGGGATAACCGGGACTCTCGGGACAACTTGGGGTCTGGCGGCCGCGGTATGCAGGGTACGTTCTGTCGTGTTTGTCGAGGGCGCGAGGCGGGATGACCAGGACACTCGGGACAACTTGGGGTCTGGCGGCCGCGGTATGCAGGGTATGTTCTGCCGTGTTTGTCGAGGGCGCGAGGCGGGATAACTGGGACACTCGGGACAACTTGGGGTCGGGCGGCCGCGGTATGCAGGGTTTGAGTAACCAAGTGGTCTGCTCTTAGAATCTAACGACCCCAACCTGTATGGTGGGGAACTACTCAAATCAATGTTCAAAAATATGCAAAAATCGTCCCCATACTATTCCTTTAACCAATTTCTTACCATCCCCCTGTAGAGTGACAGGCCCGACTTAACCCTTCTTCTGACGAGCGCTGCCCACCTGTGGGCGACGGAGAGCTGTGCCCCATTGGCCTCGCCTGCCGCGCCTGTGGAGGTTAACATTGTCCCTGAGCTTCCTCTCGGATGTGCATCGGCCCCGCGTGGCTGTCCACATTCCCCTCCGGAGTAGCGCCTGGGCCCCTGAATCTACGACGAAGCCAAGACGAGGAGCAAAGATTCGGGGGTGGACGCGTCGAGAATCTCGGAGATCGGGCGGCTCTGGAGGACGTCTCGGGCGCCGAGGGCCTCTCAGTGCGCTCCCGAACGCTGTGAGGGTGTTCCAGGACGCTCTGGAACGGATCTGTGGAAAACACACACACAGTGGAAAAACACACACTGCTTTTTTTGTCCACAGTGTGTTTGTTCCACAATGTTTGTGTGTGTGTGTGTGAATGCGCCGCCATGGCCGCGATGTGCGATGGCGCGGCGTCTGCGCGGGGGGAACCTGCACGCTGCACCCTCCAGCCACACACGCAACCGAGCTCGCCCGCGGAAGCTGTTGCTGCCTGTCTCCCGCCCCCACGATGTATCCTTGCATGCTCTTAACTTCTCGTTGCTTGCGGCTGCGGGACGGGCTCGCTGCATGCGGCTGCAAGACCAGCGGAGTCACTGCGCGCCAACCTGCCGATGGAAATGCGCACGCGCATGCGGAATCTAAACGTCCATGTGCGCGGGTACGTTCACGTTACCGGGCAAGCGCAGCACGGGACACTGCATGCCGAATGCCCTCGCAAAGATTCGTAACGGGGCGTGTATCGCTGCGTGTACGTGCGCATGCTTCCGCTGCAACATGCCCAATGCTCACACACATACATATCTATCAACGAGACCATTAATTTTCAATGTCTGTGTACACAATTATATGGGCGTGCCGTGTGGGTCGATAAGAATGCTCGTATGTAAGCGGGATGGGCGTATCTATAAAAGGCACTACCGTGAATCCACAATCAACGCATTTAGCCAGATTCCTTGTGTTATTGCTACTACTCGTTGAACATACTTCTGCGCTGCTGTCTCTCTACGTCTCGCCAACTGCTTTCCTTGTTGATTATTCGTCATCGCCCTCCTTCTGCGAACCTAACCGCAAGGCGCATCCTCGAATGCTTGGTACAGCCGAAGGATGTTCGGGTGTTGCACCTTCCCAGCGCAGACATATCCAAGCGGATACTGATATTCAAATCCGTTGAGATGAAAAGGGTGTTAATTTATGACGGGGCGCGAAGAAACAGACAAGGACGAAGACGATGCGGAAGAGGAAGAACATGCACATTACGACTAGGATGAGGATCGAGGAGCAGCAAGAATTGGAAGGACTGGTGGCGATACTGACTGGGATTCATGGAGAGGAATACAGACTATGAGGATGACGCTGGCGAGTATGATAATCCTACGACCCTTCGGCGGGTGTGAGACGCTGTCGTCGTCGTCGCCGTCGCCGTCGTCGTCGTCGTCGTGTCGTCGCCAGTCCCAAGGAAATTGAGAACGAGAAGAAAGATCGTAATCAAGTCGATTCCCTTCACTTTTTCCTTTCCCTGACGGGGGGGGGACCTGAGGGGGTGGTCCTGGGTCCGATTACCGCCCCCCGATCCGGGCGGGTCCCCAGGGGGGGGGGGTCTCCAGCGGGGGGAGGTCCCGCCTGCGGTTGGGGGGCAGTCCCGGGTGAGAATGCCGCCCCCTCCCCCGAGATCTCGGCGGGTCCTGGGGGTGGTCGCCAGCGGGGGGTTCCGGGAGGAGGAGGGGGAGGAGGAGGAGGAGGAGGAGGAGGAGGAGGAGGAGGTGGAGGAGGAGGAGGAGGTGGGGGTGGGGGATGGTCCTGGGTCAGACCCCCCGTCTGGGGCCCCTGCAGGTCCCGGGGCGGCCAGCAAGGGTCCCGGGGAAGATCCCGCGGTCCCGGATGTGAATGCAGCTCTCTCCAAGGCTCTCTCGGCGGGTCACGGGCGAGGTCGCCAGCGGGCGTCCCAAGGGAGGTCTCGCCTTCAGGGTCGGCGGCGCTGAACAGGCCTTCGCAACGATTGAGCAGGCGAAGACTGCTGATACCTATTGATGGCTTTGACAATGGTGATGAGGAGGATGACGGGGAGAAAAGAAGGAATAAGCGCACAGTGGGGGATCGAGGCCCAGCGACGTTTTGATTTGTATTGTCAGAGTGAGGGCGCCGAACGATCTTACTCTGCCCCCAGTTGCGGGGCCGAAGTGGCTTCCCGCGGAGCGGATTCTTCTTGTCTTGTGTCGTGTTGCTGTCGTCGTCCCATCCGCGACCAAACCCCCGACCCAGCCGCGACACACCCCGCGACCCACCTGCAAGCCACCCCGCGACCCACCCCGCGACCCACCCCGCCACCCACCCCGCGACCCATCCGCGACCCGACCCCGACGACCCAGCCTAGACTCACTCCGCGCCCGCCCCCTCACTCTGAACCGCAATTGCGGGGTGCCACATACAGGGCAGTTTTTAATACATACATTTTTTTACATAGGGTTTTTAATAATGCTTAATGTATGAATGAATTAGTGCGAACTGATCCTTGTATTATGAAATCAAACCTTTATTTTTAATACATGGTCCGCACGCGGAGCGTGTATTAAAAACGGCACTGTATTGTGCATTCTTCCAGAGTGGGGTCCCCGAGGATCCCCGCCCCATTAGCCAGGCCTGGCTGTCCATCCTGCGCTGCGTCTGACGGCCTCGGGGTCAGGTGAGGGCCCCCGGAGGCAGGATCGGCCGGCATCGAATATCCACGGACCGGATCGCATCGACCTGTGCATTGGATCGGGCTGCATTGCAGAGAATCGAAGTCGGATCGCATCGGCGTCGCAAGGATGCACAACGACGCCATGCGAGCATCGGGCCGCATCGGATCGACAGCCTGTCGGAATTGAATCGGATCGAGCCGGCCGGGATCGACATCGAACCGCCTCAATCGGATCGAGATGGACCGTGGCCGACCTAGCCCCACTTATAATAGCAAATACCTTTTAGTGAAAGTGACCGTGGTCCAGCCCCGTCAGGGGGCAGTCCCGCAACAACTGCGGCCGCAGCACCCCCTCGAGACCCGAAAACGGGCAACGCGCTCATGGACTCGGCAAGGCCAAAGGTGTTTGTTTTACGGCGATGCAGTCGGACCTAGGCCAGATGAACATCCCTCAAGAACCTGAGACCCTCCGCCGGCCAAAGCAAACAGAACATCCAAGGGTACCCTTCCCAGGATGCAAAACAAAACATCAAAGAAACACGAAGAACACTAGGGCACCCTCCCCGAACCAGCCTCGATCTTATACCTCGGAGCTCAAGAATCGGTTGCCATCAACCTCCGATTGAACCGCTGTAGGTTTGGGGGCCACCTGCAGCTGTGTCTTGATCTCGCGCTCGAGGTACGAATCCATCTCGAACTCCTTACGTGGGACGGGCGCGCTGGGAGCTAGGAACCACCTCCCCGTGTAAAGCGGAAGCGGGCGGAGGCCGCCGCACACGGATGGCGAGCAATAGGGCTCAAGGAGGGGGAAAGGGGACATGGAAACGGGCTCCTCCTTCCGTGGGAGGGGAGGAAGGAAGGAGGCGCGAAAAAAGGAGGTAAGAGGAGGGGGAGGGGGAGGAGGAGGAGGAGAGGGAGGAGGATGAGGAGGAGGAAGAGGAGGAGGAGGAGGAGGAGGAGGAGGAGGAGGAAGAGGAGGAGGGGGTGGAGGACGAGTTGGAGGAGGAGGAGGAGGGGAAAGAGGAGAAAGAGGAAGAAGAGGTGGTGGTGGGGGGCTCCTCCACTCCTCCTTGGATTAAGATGTGGGAGAAGGGAGGATGAGGACCCGGGATGGGGTGAAGAGGAGGAAAAAGGAGGAGGAGTACGAGAAGCGGCTCCCCCTCCCCCAGGACGAAGAGTGGGAACGGGGAGGATGAGGAGGGGCTGCACGACGACGAGAGGGCCTCTCCGTGCCACGTCTCATGCTCCCCTGCCTGTCCCTCGCTCTGGCCGTTCACTCCATGCATCCCCCCTCTCTCGCCATATCCCCTGCCTCTGCATTCGGTCCTCACCCGACCTCTCGCTTTCACTGGAATTGGCCCGGGGCTCCGAAGGGATCCTGCCAAAGGCTTGCTCTGGCGCCTGCCGGGGACACGGCTACCACGCACATTGCCCAGACATCGCCTTGCACATAGTTTGGACAGAGCCGCCGCGAAGTGTGATGGAACGAGTGCGTACACAGGATATGGCTCAGCAGCGCCGTGCTTGGCAAGAACTGGCGACGTCGAGGGTACCAAGCCTCGGCCGACGGAAGTTGGCACGCTGATGGCAGAACGACCGGGGCCACCAGGCGGTCACGCTCGCCGCTCGTTGGCATGCTGGGCGTGAGGCCACACGCGTCGGGTTCGAGGGGCCTTTCGCGCTAAGCATACTGCTCCTCGTGGCAACTTCCCCTGCGCTCGAGCGGTCGCCGAACGTCGGGTTCGGGGGGTCCGTTCGCGCGAAGCATACTGCTCCTCGTGGCAACTGCCCCTGAGCTCGGGCCGTCGTCGACGGCGCGAGCGTGGGCCCAAGCTGCGATGACTGTGCAAGAATATGACCACATGAATCCCTCCCTCTCGGTAGAAGCGCGACATATAGAGGCGACGGTCGAAGCCGGCCCGTGAGAGTGAGTGGCAAACTCGGAAGACGCCCATGGGGAATGTGCCCCACGGGATTTCAAACGCGCGGCCAAGTCTTGCCCGCGCCCGTGCGATGGAGTGGTGCGCCCTCCCCCTCCGCCAGGTGGCTGAGGCGAGGGACGCGCTTCGATGGTACGGGAGTTATTGGCGAGACCCTTGGTTTTAGGTCGGGCATGTCCCCCTACAGGTCGAGCTTCGACGAAACATAAATAGTAGTCAATGAAACTACGCAGGCAATTGTCAAACCTATGCAGAAAAACGTCCCCTGACTATTTTTTGACTGTTTGTGAACATTCCCCCTGTAGAGGGACACGCCCGTCTTAACGCCAGGAGGCTGAGGCGAGGGACGCGCTTCGATTGTGCGGGAGCTGCTGGCGAGCCCCTTGGTTTGGGTTCCGCGTGCCCCCCCTCAACTAGCAGTGTGCGCTGGCAGCGAGGCGATGCCTGCGCACCACATGTCGCAACCTGTTACCGAGGACTTGCATCCCAGGCGAAGGGGGGGGGGACTGGACACTCGTGCTTGTGGAGCCTTGGCCACTCCATCGCGACGTCTGTGGGGTAGGCCCTGCCCCCGGGGAGCAGCTGCACCAGGCGTAGAGACCTCATCCACGCGAGGGCATTCTCGCCCGCCCTCCGCCCTCTTCCATTCTTGGCTGCGGCCTGCTCCCCAGGGCGGGGCAACGCCCACGCTCCGGCGACAATGGCCTCCAGGCCATGCGGGGTGCTGGCGCTTGGCGCTCGGTGACGTCTGCCCTGCGGGAAAGAAAAGTCCACCTATAGCTCGACGTAGTTTCGTCACCATAGCTATAGCTCAACGTACTTCAGCTTCCATACACGCGAGCCGGCAGTGTGCGTGTGTGTGTGTGTGTGTGCGTGTGTGTGTGTGTGTGCGTATCCAACACCGCATGATCTGCTGGAACAAGCCGGTCTTGTGTAAGATTCCTGGGTGTGAGGAGAAAGCTGGATGGAAGGAGAGTCCCCACGTGAATCGCCCTGGCAAGCTGGCGAACCAGTGGCACCAGTCGGAGGTGGAAGCCACGCTCAAAGCTACAACAAGCGAGGGCGCAGTGAGAGAGAGAGAGAGATAGAGAGAGAGAGAGAGGAAGGGGGAGGGAGGGGAGGGAAGGCGGGGAAGGGGAGGGCAGAGGAAGGGGAGGGAGGGAGGTGGAGGGCAAGGGAGGGAGGGGGGAGGAGGGGGAAGGGAGGGAGGGAGGGAGGGAGGGGGAGGGAGGGCGGAGGGAGGGAGGGGGGAGGAGGAGGGCAGGGAGGGAGGGGGAGGGAGGGATGGAGGAGGGAGGAAAGAGGAGGGAGGAAAGAGGAGAAGGGAGGGAGGGGAAGGGAGGGAGAGAGCGAGGGAGGAGGGGAAGGGGAGGGCATCAGCAAACGTATAGCCCAACATCTAGCCCCAGCCGTCCTCTCCCTTCCTCGCCCCTCCCGTCTCCCCCCCTCTGGCCCTCCCCTCCGCCCATCCCTCCCTCTTGCGCCCTCCCCTTCCCTTCCCTGCCGTCCCCAGGCACCCCACGGACGGCGATCCTCGACCTTCGCCTTGGGAATCACCTTCATGGCGTAGATCTCGGCCGTCTTCTTGTGTACCACCTGCGCCATGGAGACCGCAGGCGCGTGCCGCCCACCGGGCACTCGGCTCTCCCTCGCGGCCTCCGCCCAGACTGTTCCGCCCCGGGGCCCTGCTCTTCCGCATCCGCCTCGGAGGTAACTCCTGCCCGCCCTGCCGCCGCCCACGCCGCCG